ATATATGTTTGCACATGTGTCTTTAATCTCTATATATCTGATGATTACTAGTCACAGTCAGTTATGCTCGGATCCTTGGTACCTGAGTATGGATATAAAGTCATCAGGTAGATTTCACTGGTAATGTTGATCACCTCTACTATTTAACATGAAGTAAATTTTTATGCTTCCTACTCAAGTATGTCTTTTTTTTAATTTGTTGATTTTTCTGTGTGTATATCATACAGAACATCCCAAACAATCTTATTCATCTATATACCCACTTCCCAAATGGCACCCTCCCATAGCCTCCCCCCTCCCACATACTGGAGCCCATATACTCTGTCATCCCTATTACTGTCCACTGTGTTGTCGAACCCCCAGCAACTCTCCAGTGCTTGTCCATCTGGTGAATCTAGTCAGCCTATCTAGAGATCCTTATTTTAGAAAGATCAGCTGTTCCTCATCTAGCAGCAATCAGTTTTCAATATTCCTTTACTAAGACTGGGGTCTGCTGTTCATTTTCCCAGTTCTATGCTGGGTTACAGTCTGGGAGTCTCTTGTGCCACCCTGGCCAATAACTGTCTAGCATTGTTTCTTGTTATGTAGCCTTTGGCTATACATATGGACTCTTAAAAATTATATTGACACCATTAATCTTTGGTTATACTTTCCTTTTGGGTGTTTAGGACCCTACAGTTGGCCCAGATAAAATAATTTATTTTGACTCTTAAGGTCGTTTGAGGATCTGTTCCTCTGGGGAAATATGGGCTTGGGAGGAGCCCCTGGATCCTTTCTTTTACCAGTTCCACCTATGTGAAGATAAGTCAAAGGTCCTGCTCAACCATGGCTGGCTTCACTTGGAAGCATGGAGAAAATGTTTCCTCAGTGTTGGCCCTCCTCTTTATAGACTGGACACTGGTTCAAGTTCAGCTCATGGGGTCTCCACAGCCTCCTTGCTCAAGATGACAGGTAACAGGACAGGTGACAGGTACAGGACATTTTGAGAGATGCTCATAGTGCCCTGGAATTTAGTCAACCTAGAAGGGCAAGGAGCAAAAACTGTCCTTTATGTTCCCCTGATGAAATTAGTATAGGCCTCGAAGTATGGCTGTTAAATATCCAAGGTTAGTTCCACCAGTCTGGTACTTTTAATTACCATATTCCATGTAAATAGAGCTTGGGCAAAGACCAAACGCACTCAGATAAACCTTGCCTAGGCATATATTACATTCTTTGATCCGGTTTTATGTATAATTTGCCAGTAGGTTGTTGGCCTAATATGGTTCCCTCTGGTTTTCTAAAACTAGCTAGGCATTGTTTATCTCTCGCATTGTCTAACCCTTCCACCATGGTTTCCCCATTTAAGGTGCCCCCGTTTTTTCCATTTCTCCCTTAATAATACTTTTCTCCTATGCTCCTACCCCTCTTGAGCTTCTTCTTTCCCTTTATCCCCTAGGTTCCTAGTATAACCTTCCCTAGCACTCCCCTTAAACTAACCCCATTATTATCCATATCTCCCTTGTTAGCACCTGTTTCCTCCTGGTCTTCTCTTCCAGATTCTTTCTCTTTACCTCCGTGGCTCCTCTTCATTACCCTGGTTCCTGTAGTTATGTCTGGATACATATTCACTTATAAGGATTTGGCGCTAGGATCCACATATTAGGGACAACATACACCGGTTTTTTTTGTTGTTGTTTTTTTTGGTTTGTTTTTTTTTCTGAGTCTGTGTTACTTCACTTAATATAACAGTTTCTAGTTCCATCCATTTTCCTGCAAATTTCATGATTTCATCTTTCTTTATTGCTGAGTAAAATTCCATTGTATAAATGAACCACATTTTCCACATCAATCGTCAGTTGAGGGACACTTAGGTTGCTTCCATCTCTTAGCTATTGTG